TGTGTTTTGCGTTCATTTATGTGTTGCGTTATTTTTCTGTTTGTTTTTCGGTCTTTTTCTGTTCTCTTTTCGTTTTTGGTGTGTAGTTTGGAGACCTCGGAAGAATAGGTTTTCGAGAATCTTTTGGGGAAGCTGACACCATTAGAGAGAGGGTCTCATTAGCGACGCATAGGAAAAAGCAGAATTGAATTCCGATACTAGACGAGCCCGAACGAGCCCAAACCGTGAAGTCGTGCAAAGCTGCCAGGACCTTAGCGGCGTTTTGGAAGCTTAGCGGGGTCAGAGGGGAGCAGCTAAGGTGGCTTAGCGGCGCTAAGAAGGGTTAGCTCCGCTAAGGTCTGTTTTTTTTAACTGTTTCGTTTTTCTCGGAATTTCGAATTGGAGGACTTAAAGGTCGAGGCTAGGGCAGATTTTAGACATCTTTGAACATCCTTTTTCATACTTTTTCACTCCAAAAACATATCTTTCACTTGGTTTTGCTTGGATTGGATCTTGGAGAGTAAAAACACCTTTTCTAGCTTTTGGATTTGGATTTCTCTTTACTTTCTCGACATTGGATTTATATTAATCGTAAGCACTCCTTTTCTTATTTTGATATGATGATGTTTGCTTGGGTTGATGATTATTTTGATGTTGAATCAATCATGAGTAGCTAAATCCGTATGATAGGGATAGGGATTAATGTTTTGATTTCGATTGCGATTGTGGGTTCCGATGATTGTTCGTGTTATGCAAATTGTTCTTTATTAGGGTTTTTCAATAATCAAACTAGAGTTTTGAGAATTGTTGAAGAGTGACACTTCAACTTCCAATTAATTCAATTGAGTTCGATTAATTCGTGTTTGATATTGGTAAATCTATTTGATTAGTCGGTTAATCATCTTCTAGTCTTATTTTTATCGACTTGTAGAACCGAAAGGGGAGGAGTCGGTCGAAAAAGGTTTGCATAAGCTAGGCTTGTTCGTAACTGTATTGCCTAGGAGTTAAATGACTTGGTAATTGCCGTTCTAGTTTGTTCTCTTGTTCCGAAGAGTTATTGAGAATGAGTTCTAGAACGTGTTTGTTATTCAAATCACTTAACTGAATAATCACATGCCCACTAATTACATTTCGAACCGAAACGGATATCCCCGACTCCCTAGCTTCTCAAATCCTTATTATTCTTCGTTGTCTTGCTACTTTTATTGCTTTATTCAATTAATTGCAGTAGTTGATAATTTAAACCATCCAATCATCTGAATTAGTATGTTTAGGTATTTGCTTTCTTTATTTTCCCTTTTTGAGTGATTGAACAAACGTGCTTAGTATTCCGGCTGACCTTCCTCGAGAGACACGACCCGGTGTCGAATCTTTTGATTCTGCTCTGGAAAATATTTACAACACTTGGGCAACTACGTAGTCAGCGAAGCTCAAAATCGCTTTCCTTGGGAGACGACCCGAGGTTCGAATTACTCGGTTAATAATTATTCTTGCTCTAAACTACTCAACATGAACATTAAGAAACCTCTCTTACATTTGTAACCACAGATGGCAAGTGATCATCTATATAGACTTTTCTTCTTTGTGGAATATTATGAAGACAAGTAGAAGGCTTGATCAATCCCAAAACTCATTTCCAATTTCAGTATTCTCTAAAGATTTCAAAGAGGGAGAAAATAGAGTTTTTGGACAAAGTTCCAAAGAACTTGTTTGAGCTTAGTATATTATTTTATTTTATAAGCGTTATTGAGAGAAATGTTGAATAAGAAAATTTGAGTGTTATTGAGTGTGTCTTTCTCTATTGTTAGCTTTTATTTTTGACAATATCTTGTCACAGGGTTGAATAAAATGATGATATGGAGGATTGTGTATTATTATTTTTTATATTCTTGTATTGATGTGGAACATATACTTAGTTGAATCGTGTATTTAATGACTTATTAATATTCTAATATTAATTATATACTCAATTTGTGATGTTTGACTTATGCCATAAGGTATGTTATAACATAAGGGATGTTGGTAGAATTAGAGTTACAGGTCTCTGATAAATACTAATATATATGTTTCTCTCTCTCGGAGATCATACAAAAGAAAGTTCTCAACACTCTGTGAAAATTGAAGAGCTGTGGAGGAGATAAACACATCATCGTGTTGTTCAATCGGTCAAAACCAAATCGAACCGACCGAAATTTCTTGTACCCAATCTTCAAACCGAAAACCAAACCGAAAGTTATAATTCGGTTTGATTTTTAACCGAAAATTTATCGGTTGGATCAGTTCAGTTATCGGTTATCCAATAAAATAGAAAAATGACAAAAAAAATACAATTTCAGCAAATTACATGCCTAGTTTCAACAAATCATAGTTTTATTTCAGCAAATTGCAACCTTAATTAACAGAAAAAAATAATCAAAAAGTGAAAACAAAATAGAGAACTTGATTCAGCCTGAGAACTTGATTAATTCACCAAATTGGTTGAATCCGACTACATATGCTTATAGGGGTTTACTCATAACTTGAATTATAATATAAAAAAGTATATTCGACTACATATGCTTATAGGGGTTTATGTAATGTTATATTTGTATTAGCTAACATGTATATGAATACATAATTCACTAATTTATTATATAATATATATGAGTGTAAAAATACAAAAATATATTTATCAAAATATAGTATATTTTTGTAAAAAAATAATTTTATTATTATCATAAATATTATTTTTTATATAAAATAGTGATAAATGATAATATAGAATGATATTATCATTCTATTCAGGTCTTATTATACCAAACACATCAATGGAAAAACTGGTTTCACTTCTTTCTCATATTTATTTCATTCTTCAACTCATTTCGTTCCTATCAAATTTCATTCCATTATACCAACCGTGTCGCAAATAAAACATGGAAAAGCTTGAGATTGCAAGGCACCAAGTGAGAGGTTCTTATCTTTTTTTTTTTGGTACATAAAAGGAGGCCAAAGGCCTAGTCTACTAGAACTCTTCTAGGATAGGCTACGCCCTGAATGTCGTGATCCAGCCAAGCTCCTAACCCTTGGGGGGGTGATGACAACCTGTGTAAACCCAACGGGACTGAACTCGCTAACTCCGCCATGTGATCCGCCGCATAGTTAGCCTCCCTATGCACATGCTCGATACGTAGATTCCAATCTCTGCTCATCAAGTCCCGAATAGCTCGAACTAAAGAATCATGCGTGCCAAAATTATCTTCCGGGCCTAAGATCATTCTCGTCACGCATTGGCTATCCACTTCAGCAACCACTCGTCGAAAGCCCTGATCCCACGCCAACTGAAGACCCTGAAGCAGGCCCCACAATTCGGCCCCGGTAATGGTACTAACGCCAATGTTCATAAAGAACCCATGTAACCATCGGCCCATCTCATCTCGAATTAAACCTCCCGCACTACACAGGCCCGATCTATGACTGGCGGCTCCGTCTGAGTTCATCTTAACCCACCCCGGATTCGGAAATTTCCAATACACCATTCGAATCGAATAGGTCGCGGCCCCGACCTTCGCATAGGCTGCTATGGCTTTATTATAATTCTCCGATAACCGAACGATATGGAGGTGTCTTGCTGTACAACTCAAGGACAGGTTCTGGAAAATCCGGGCGTTTCGCCATTTCCATGCACTCCAACAGGCGAAGGAGAAAATACTAGGCCACTGTTCCTGATGGCCCATGGACGACCATTCAAGGTTCGACCACAACCACTCTTTCAATGGCTGCGTAAAGAATGTTTCAGCTCTCTCCGGCGAAATAAGACGATGCCATGTGCTCCGAGCCACCGGGCAGTCCCTCAATACGTGCAGAGTGGTCTCGGCGACCCCGCATACATCACAGTCCGGCGTCAACGCAATATGCCGCCGGACCTGCTCCGCATTAGTTAAAAGGCGACCCTTAGAGACTAGCCAAAGGAACGTACGGATTCGTTGCGGAACCGGAGCTTTCCATACAATATTCCACAGGGGTCGGTCCCGATCTCTCGCCGGTCTTGTTAATGACACGTAGGCCGTGCGGGTGGAAAACTGCCCATTGGAGGAGGAGAACCACAGCAGGCGGTCAGCGCCGGCATTGGCCCGTGGCGGTGCTATTCCGGCAATTCGCATAATGATGGTCGAAGGAAGCACACCATGAAACGCATCCCAATTCCATGCGCCCCTCTCGTCTACATAGTCCACGACGGTCAAATTAATAGTTTGCTCCGGCGGCCGCTGAAATACGTGATTTATAAGTGGGCCAATCGTGCCAACCCAAGAGTCGAGCCAAAATCTTACCGTCTCACCGTTGCCCAGAGACCAACGAACTTCCTTAACCAACAAGGGCCATACCTTACACAACGCTTGAAGTAAAGGCGAGCCATGTCGGGCTTGAATCATGTCTAACCCCCTTGTGAAAGAGAGGCCGTATTTAGCTTTCATGAGTCTCACCCACAGTGAATTGCTTCTCGTCAAAAGCCCCCAGCCCAATTTCATGAGGAGCGCGTAATTCATCATGCGCATGTTTTTCAGGCCCAGGCCACCCTCGTCTTTAGTTTTGCATACCTCTTTCCACGCGACCAAATGAACTTTTCGTTTCTCAGACGACCCGCCCCATACGAACGCTCGACACCGACGATCGAGCCCATCTGAGATGGCTGCAGGCAACAAAGCAGTTTGCATCGAGTAATAGGGTAAAGCACTTAGTGAGAGCTCTTTCTTTAATTTTTCTTTCTTATATACATTGTAGGCATACCATGCAGTGTTACTGTTCCACAGTATGCCCCAAGCCAGCTTATCACATGACAACACGTGGCACACACAAGACTGTGGGCCACCCTACCCACCCCGTCCAACCAATCACCAGCCCCAAATTTCGAACTGCTCTGCAAATTCCAAATTGTTCCAAAATTTTAAACCATTTTCTATTGATTTGCATCTCTCTCTTTCTCTCCCTCCGCCATTATCGCCCAGCTCAAATCCTTCTCATATGTATAAATGGGGACACCAAATATGCAATCACATCTGCTTCCTGTGTCCAATCCCCACAACCCATCACCCTCCTCATCTTCATCGTCTTCCCCGAACATCAAATCCGGATCAGCCTCGCCCACGATTATGATCAGGTCTGGGGACGATTTGGGGGCTGCGGCGGCGGCGGCGGCGGCGGCGAGGATGCTGGTGGCGTCGTCCTTCGAGGAGAGCGAGACGAGGCCCTTTATCGCGAGGACCTCGAGTTACACGGAGGCCACCTCCGCCAAATCGAGTTCGGCCCAGCAGAAGAGGCGGCGGCGCGTTGCCAGCGACAACTCCATTCTGGATATCTCCGTCGTCCCGATCACCGCGGGCCGCCGGCCGTCTTTCCGGCAGGATGTGGGGAGAGCCGCCTCGGACACTTTCTTGGTCACTCGGCTTAGCTTTAAGCTGTTGCGGTATTTGGGGTAAGAGTTCTTTTTAATCCATTCATTTCTGTTATCGTGGAGAAGTTGTGATCTGAAGAATTAAGGATGGTGGGCTTGGTGTTTCCTGATTATTCTTTTGTTGTTGTTGGAATCTTCGTGATTTTGATTGATTTTGAGGTGCCATATTACTTCTTGAAACTCTGATGCGTGACGTTGCAGGTTGATAATATGTTATGGTTGTGAAAAATATATTTCCAAAGTGTTTTTTCTTTTCCTTTCAATGGACGAGGTTGATTTGTCAGGTGCTACATTGAGTAGTATAGCCGTTTAATGTGATGTGATGACAAGTTATATTAATGAAAAGCATCCAGAAAACTTTATTTTCTCTGTTAGTAAAATTATTTTAGTACGCCATCTTTGTCTGATGGTGTCTTTCTGTTTTTCACACACAATTTGAGTGTGGTTTGTAAGTTATGTTTGAAACTCTGTATGAATTTATCCGACAAAGTGTTGTAGTTCTTGCAAAAGTGAAGAAACACATGAAGATCATAGTTTAGACTTCTGGTAGCCAGGTTCTTTTCTCTTTCTTCACAACCAAACCTTTATTCAACTGGTTCCTTGACTTCTTATGGCACAAGACAAGATACGTTGCCGCTAGCTATTGGCTGATTTGCTTTTCTGGTTTTTCTTGATACGCTTTATTTTATCCATCAACTCCAATTTAACCTGCTAAACATTCAACTTAACAGCTTACTTTCATCTTTAAGTTCCAAAGGCTTTGATGGGATCTGCCTTTTGAATGATGTGATGAGTGTCTCGTTCATCGAATAAACATCCTTTCTAGTTACTAATTCTTTCTTTCCAGTATTCATAAGAAGCAGCAGCCTAAATTGTTGTAAAAGTTAATTGTTCTTCAAATTAGGGAGACAGAAAATAGGAAGATAACAGCTGAACCCGGATCAAGAACTCGACTAAGGTTTTGTTTGAGTTTTCAGCTTTGAAAAGCATTCTATTTGAAGCCCGCTAACCAGCCTTAGAGTAAAATATTGTCACTTGATAACTTTCTCCCGGTCTTAAACGTGTTCCATCCTTTTCCTCCTGAAATTAAATAATTTTCCGATTTTGAATGCGGATTTTTTAAAGTGATGACACACGTGAGCTGCTTCTGCCTTTTGGTGCACAACCGTAAACTTAACTTGAATGCTTTTTCTAAGCTTTAAGCTTTTTCAGGGTAGGCTACAGATGGATCATCAGATTTCTTGCTCTCGGCTGTTATGCTTTCCTTCTTTTTCCTGGTTTTGTTCAAGGTTTGTGTGCATATGTATAAATTATAATAGATAATATTGTACATTTTGTGTTCACCATTTAAATTGATTTTTATACTATGTTCTGCCTCTTGCTCATAATTTTAAAATTGTAGTCTTAATCTGTTGCCTTTTGAGAAACTAAGACATGAAGGTTCTGTAACACATATAATTTGTATTTCTGCTGCAGTTGGATACCAGTACTTCTTCTCCAGTCAAATACGTCGAGGTATAATATATGGAGACCAGCCCAGAAATAGGTGGGATTTACGTTTGCAATGTTGCTATCTAAATCCAACTGCAATCATATGTTGTTAAATGAATTCATAGTCCTCTTTATAGTTAACGTGGTTAGGATATTTTTGTACAGACTTGATCTGTATCTACCGAAAAACAGTAAGGGACCAAAACCAGTTGTTGCATTTGTAACAGGTGGAGCCTGGATCATCGGGTATGCATTTTTTTTTTTTCCTTGGACAAACTAGTTATAAAGTTATAGTTGCTTCAATTATTAGAGCTTCCTAAGTTCATTATGTAGGAAAACAACTAGTTATAAATTGGGTTCGGCTGATTGAAGGCATTTTGTTTTACCATTCCGGGAGCTTTTGTTGAAGCTATAATTTTATAAGCTTTTCTTTACTGATCCAAACAATCGTATCCGCTGATACAGTTACAAAGCATGGGGTACTCTTTTAGGACAACAGTTAGCAGAAAGAGACATCATAGTGGCTTGCATAGATTACAGGTAAAATAAATTTGTTATGATCCTATTTCAGTTAGAGGATACCTAACTGAAAATGAATTACTCGTTAAAATTAGAGTCGTCTGGCTTTACCAAAAGAATCAGCCCCTCTGTTTTTTTCTGAATTGAATATAGAACAGCAATAAAATTTACAACATAACAGCCAACAAGAAGAATAAACTTGAGCTGATGGTAGACTTTTCCAGGAACTTCCCTCAGGGAACTATTAGCGATATGGTGAAAGATGCTTCTCAGGGTATTTCATTTGTATGCAATAATATTGCTGAATTTGGAGGGGATCCAAACAGGTACCTCTCTCTCTCTCTCTCTCTCTCTCTCTCTCTCTCTCTCTCTCTCTCTCTCTCTCTCTCTCTCTCTAAATTTGTTTTTGAAAATACTATGCAACCTACCTATCTAACAAGACATTATTTTTGATAATTCCTTAGAATATATCTCATGGGACAGTCGGCTGGTGCCCATATTTCTGCTTGTGCTCTGGTAGAGCAGGCAATCAAAGAGGACAATGGACTGAAAACTTCTTGGAGTGTTTCTCAAATAAAAGCTTATTTCGGTTTATCTGGAGGGTGAGCTTTTTTTCCAAATTCTTATTGCTTTATATAAATTCTCGCTCCAACACAAAGAATGTCTCACTCCATCGGCTATACATATAAAGGGTTAATTTGGAATATTTAATGGACAGGTACAATTTTTACAACCTGGTGGATCACTTTCACAGCCGAGGCTTATACCGTTCAATTTTCCTAAGGTGAGAACATTATCTTGATTGCCTGCCTTGAGTATATTTGCATGTTACTGTCTATTTTTTAACTGTCTTATATATTAGCTCGATTATGTTGTATGTTTATCTTAAACGCACAGTATAATGGAAGGGGAAGAATCTTTCCAGCGATATTCTCCAGAAGTTGTGGTGCAGGATCCGGACAATAGGAATGCAGTTTCCTTGTTGCCTCCTATAGTGCTTTTCCATGGCACGGCTGATTATTCCATCCCCTCCGATTCCAGGTCTGAATCTCATTCGCTAGGACATGAAGAATCGAACTTTTAAATGTGTGTGTTCATTTTTTAATGTTGTAACGAATTTTGATCTCTTTGTAAATGTACTTAAGATCTCAGAGTCGGTTTTTTCTAACTAGCCTTCTTCTATTATCCTTTTTTTTTCTGTTATTGCAATGACATCATATCTTGGTTTCATCGGGAAGGTAGATAAAGGTCGAAGTAATTTTTTTACATATTCCATGGTAATATATCTCAATATGCATAGTAAACGTACACACTTTTTGCTCTTTTTATTTCATCAACAATGTTAATGAAACTGCATTTCAGATTATATACTGCACTGGGCTGAGTTGATGTTTTACGTGCAGTAAAAGTTTTGCAGAGACCCTTCGAAATTTGGGCGTTCAAGCCGAGTCAATACTTTATGAAGGAAAGACACACACAGATCTGTTCCTTCAGGTATACATTTGTTTCCACTGATAATCAAAATGTACTTGAGTTTATATAGGTCTCATGTTTATTCATTTTTTACATAAAACGACAAAATGCAAAAATCAGGACCCAATGAGAGGTGGGAAAGATGAGATGTTTGAGGATTTAGTTGGGATGATTCATGCGGGCGACCGGGAGGCACTGGCCAGGGATGCCACAGCGCCTCCAAGAAGACGTCTGGTGCCCGAGTTCATGTTGAAATTGGCACGTGCTGTTAGTCCCTTCTAGTGGTAAAATTACAGATACCTCCCGAGGTAATGCAAATTAACGAAAGGTGCCCACACATATTGCGGAGGGGAGGGGTTAATTCGTAGTTTCAGAAAATGACTGGGACATTGTGAAAGTAGGCTTTAGGGTTGCGGTCATTTTTTTCGAAATTCTTTTACCATCCTGCTGACTCTTGGCTGGAGATGAAAGAGATGTGAAAGATTGTTTATTTATGTTAGAAACTGCAGTGTAAGTATGTTTCATGGCCTACTGTGTTCCTTTAAGGGCATTTTTATAGGTCCTTATTTTTATTTTATTTTTTTTAGATAATTATTCACTTCACATGAAACAATGTGATCTGGTAACAAGTTGAAACTTCAAGTCCATTCATGCTTTGGTTAAAGTTGCACATCATGAAACTACTGAAACTTCTCAACTTCTTCCCTCCTTTGCCACTTGTGGCCTTCATACACAGACAAATTCATGTTAATAATATTGCGAGTAAACGAACAATAAGAGATCTTTATCACGGTCATTTTTCGATATTCAACTTCTTCCTAGGCTCCCGAGGCTTTTGCTCACCCCTTGGCGTCACAGGTTCCTGTTTGGGGACCGAGCTTTTTTCGGCGGTCTCTCTGCCTTGAGTGATGCCATATCTTTCTACAGCTTGAAAACCGACTTAAATATCTACGGTCTTGTTTTTGTACGTTGTCTCAACTTGTTCAAATGTTTGTAGCTTTTATTTTCACTTGAGGGTAGAATAAATATTGTACCATCAAATATGCTGGGTTACATTAGCCTAGGTGTTGAGAATAGAGACCATACTTGTATTATTCGGTACTTATAATATTCTTACTTATTGATGTTGATATGGAACAAATTAATTTGTGAAGTTTGATCAACATAGTTGGATGATCTTCGAAAGTGTTAATATATTTAACTTTTCATACTGAGATTTTGGATTTTTTAAGATTTGCTTAAATTCTAAAGAAAAAAAAAATATATACAAAATTCCATTCCAAAAATCCAACCTTATATTTCATCTCTAGCAAGAGGTTAAAAGTTTCGGCAGTTA